ATAAATTTTAAAATGAAAATATCATTTTACCCTTACTAAAAATAACAAGTCCTAATCACAACTTTTATTCTATAAATAACAAGAATTGAATAAGAAATCACAACTTACTAAGTGTAATTTCTATTATTGAAAAAAAAACCCTAATCACAACTTTTGCTTAAGGAATAATAAAATTTATTTTGTGAATCACAAGAGTTAAATAAAAAATACAATTTGTCAAGTGTAATTTCTATTATTGAAAAACAAGTTTTCAAAATAACAAACTCCATTTATAACTTTTTGTTTAAAGAATCATAACTTTTATTCATAGAATTTCAAGAATTAAATAAAAAATCATAACTTGTCAATAAGGGTAAAATGATTTTTTAAATTGAAAACTTATCAACAAAGAGGTCCTTAGGGACTTCAGTAAAATTATGATATTTTAAGGGATCAGATATTATTTATATAATTAGAAGAGATTTTATTATCATTTTTCCTTAATTTATTAAGTTGATGCTTCCATCCAAGTTAAAGAGAGAATCTAGCGGATAAAATCTCTATTAAAAGATGTATTTATATGGGAGAATCTCATTTAGGTTTTTAATAAATAATTTAAACACATGAAGGGTCAAAGGAATCAAAAATTCCTATATAGCCTAAGGGCCCTTCATACAATTAAAACTTTCATTGAAATCTCATAAATGCCCTTGCCTTTTTTTTAAAAAAAAAAAAGAGTTTCATCATCATCAACCAACGAAGCTTCATACTCGACAGGCAAGCCACCACTGCCAACCGCTCGGTCGGAGCTTCGATGGTCAAATCTGGTTAAAAGGTATCAAGGGAGGGTTTAAACCTTTGACCTTTTAGTGTTGCAAAAAATAGTTCATCACTAAAATACTAAAGCAATCTAATAATATATTGCAAAATATAATATACATGTCGCATTTTTTATTTTCAAGCATTAATATGAGTTATTGTTAATCATAAATATATTGTTTATATTAGAACAATCACTTATAAATATGTGAACATTACTCGTTCATGAATAAAAAAGTTGTCAATTTTTAAAACCTAACTTGTTTATTTTTTTTAACAACTTGTTCCTTTAATGTTGACAAGTTATCAATATTATGTGAAATCATATATGTGTATGTTATACATTTATTCTTCAAGCATCTTTATGGGCTATGATTGGTCATGGATATATTATTATTCATATTCAATAATTACTTGTAAATATGTGAACATGACTTGTTCATGCATAAAAAAGTTATCAATTTTTAAAATCCAACTTGTTCAAATTTTTTTAGCAATTTTTTTTAAATATTGACAGATTATTAATATTATGCTAAATGAAATATATATATACATATGTTATAAATTTATTTTTAAAGAATTTTCATGCACTGTGGTTCATCATGGACATACTATTGTTCATGTTAGAATAATCACTTGTAAATACTTGAACATGACTTATTCATACATAAAAAAATTATCAATTCATGAAGAAGTTAGGTTCACGTATTTACAAGTGATTGTTTAGAAATGAACAATAATATGTCCATGATCAACTATAGCCCATGAAAATATTTGAAAAATAAATTTATAATATATATATATACATATATTTTATTTAGCATAATATTAATAACCTGTCAATATTTAAAACTAGTTGCTAAAAAAACTGAATAAGTTGAATTTTAAAAATTGACAATTTTTTCACGCATAAATAAGTCATGTTCACATATTTATAAGTGATTGTTCAAATATAAACAATAATATATATGTCCATGATCAATCATAGCCCATGAAAATACTTGAAAAATAAATTTATAACATATACATATATTATTTAGTATAATATCGATAACCTATCACTTTTGAAGGAACAAGTTATTAAAAAATTAAATAAGTTAGGTTTTAAAAATTGACAACTTTTTTTAATAATTGAACAAGTCATGTTCACACATTTACAAATAATTATTCAGATATAAATAACAATATGTCTATAATCAACCACAACCTATGAAAATGCTTAAAAAAGAAATTTATAAGATGTACATATATAATTTAGCATAATATTGATAACATATTAATATTGATGGAACAAGTTGTTAAAAAAAATTAAAAAAGTTGGGTTTTAAAGATTAACAATTTTTCTATGAATGAACAAGCCATGTTCATATGTTTATAAGTGATTATTTGGATATGAACAATAATATGTCTATGATCAACTATAGCCCATGAAAATGTTTGAAAAATAAATTTATAACATGCATGCATGCATACATACATACATATATATGATTTAGCATACTACCAATATTGAAGAAACAATTTGTTAAAAAATTAAACAAGTTAGGTTTAAAAAATTAACAACTTTTTTATGTAAGAACAAGTTATGTTCACTTATTTATAAGTGATTGTTTGTATATGAATAATAGCATGTCTATGATTAACAGCAACTCATTTTAATGTTTGAAAAGAAAAACTCTAACATATATATATATATATATATATATACACACACAATATTCTGTAATATATTATTAGATTGTTTTGGTAGTTTAATAATTCACTATCTTTTGCAACACTAAGGATCAAGGGTTCAAATCCTCCCTTGGCCCTCTTTGACCAAATTTGACTACGAAGCCAAAGCTTTAGCCACCGATGATGGTGGCCTGCTTGCTTGCTACGAAGCTCTAATGGATGGCACGATGGCTCAGGTGACCAGTGACAGTGAAACTTTTTTTTTTTAAAAAAAAAGGCAAAGGTATTTATGACATTTCAATAAAAATTTTAATTGCATGAAGGGCCCTTGGGCTTGTAAAGGAATTTCAAATTCCTTTGAACCCTTCATGTAGTTAAATTGTTTTTTAAGTCCCTAAATGGGATTCTCCGTACTTATATTTAATGTTCAATCATATCTTAAATGTAAATCTTTAACATAAAAATACATACATGCAATAAAAAAGATATCTCTGTGTGTGTGGGGGGAGAATCATATCCAAGAAACTCTCAAGAAAATTATTCATAAACAAAGACCGATATGAAATGAATTATTGTTAAAATAAAAATGTGACTTATTTTTTTTTTAAATGGGACTGTTGTTAGTCCTTGTCTGTAAGTAGTATCCGAATCCTTGAATGTAACTCTCTCTCTCTGTATATATATATATATATATATATAATTATAGTGTTGGGTGGGATATGAGTAGATGTCCATGATGATTATTTAAACTTTCCTAACGTAATTGGAAAAAGAAAAAAGAGAAAGACACATACACAATTATTTTTATGGTGGACCATCTTCATAGTCTTCATCCACACAATTCTACTTCTTTTTAATGGCCTCTCAAAGGAAAGGCAATTGATTGAACACCTCAGATTTTATGTTTTATGTAATTTTTTAATTTTAAAAGAAATTCAAATAAGAAATAACATAATATTTTAAATTTTTTAAAACACACAAGTAAAAAGTTTGTAAAAAGTATGATTTTCCTAACTTTTATAGGTATATTGCTTGATGATAATAACCTAGTATTTTGGTCTTTAAAAAACTTAAATGTTTTGTAAATAATAATTTTTTAAAATATTTCCATTTTTGTATAATCAATAAATAAATATATTTTTAATGATATATTTATTGAGAAAATAAAATATTATTCATATTTAAAAAGTAGATTATATTTTTTATTACGCAAGGGAGATTGAGTTTTTTTTTTTTTTTTATCAATACCTCAAGAGTCATCCCATATTCCCATTCTTACCAGCGAAGGAGAAGTATTACTGTTATATATAATATCAATAATAAATATATACATGCAAATTGCCAAATTGGAGAGTATCAGTCAAAGTAGGTGAGCCATTAGCCTGTAAGTAGGTGGCATGTGATTTTTGGCCAAAAATAAACAAGAAGGTTAGGTGGTATGATTTGTCAAAACACTTGTGCAATGAATATTGATAATAATTGGTAATTATTGACTTTTTGCCAAAATTATAACAAACTTTATAACTCAAACAAGTGATTATATTGATACTTGAAAATTTCTAGCAACAAGAATTTTACAGCGATAATGAAATTGAAAGCCATCCTTTATGAGATCTATAAGCTAAACTTCTTACCAACTTAACTAGATTAACATGAACTTGCAAAACATTATGTGATATTAGATGGTGATAAAAAATAGTGTACACTCCTAATTACCTTGTTGAATTGATTGGGAAGTAGTCTGAATTTTTTCCCTCTTCGTTAGAATCTGTGTGTGTGGTTGTGTGTGTAAAGTTATATATGTGTGATATATACACAGGTCCATAGAAATAAAAAAAAGGTGATAAGTATAATAAAAATGTAAATTTATCACAAAATTATGTATTTACTTATGTATTTATCTCTCTCTCTCAAATTATTAGAGACTCAAAATCCTTTTAACACTAGGTTATATTCTTTTTAATCATACCTTTAAATACATAAAAAAGTACTCTTTTCATCCTAAATTATAAGATATTTTTTAAAAAAATCTTACATATCAATAAAACTTATTAAATACACTTTATAACTTTACTTTTTAAGATAAAAATATAAACTTTTAAAAATATCCTTCATTTAATACTTCATTAATAAAAGAATATTGAAGTGAGATAATACATGGGAATGATAGTATTAAAAAAAATATTATTAATGAAATTTTATTTTTATTAGAATGTCTTATATTTTAAAAACATTAATTTTTTTGTAAAATATCTTATAATTTAAGATGGAGGGAATATTTAGTAAGATGGATAGATGGATACAAACTATAAAATTTACAAACAAAAAATAAATACTGTTAAATAAAGATAAGCAAGCTAAGGAAGCGATGTAACTAACACCAGGCAAACCTAATTTATTTAATTAGTGAAAAACCCAAGTCGTGGTCGGAATGATTCAACACGTGAACATTTTATTTTCTGAGAAGGTGGCTTCCTTAAATAAATTAATCATAAATTTAATATGTTAAAAATAAATATGCTCACCAAAACCTGTTCAAACTTCAAACAAGCCTACATTCAAAGCATCTAGTTGACTATTCTCTTCTTGTACATATATTATATATACACACACTCACTCACACCATGATCTTCAGCTTTCATTAAAGCTTCAATATTTTTCAGTTTTCAGAATACACACACACTCTTCTCCCCAAAAACGATTCAAACTCAACAAAATCCAACCATGAATCTTTCATCCTCAGCCTTATCATCATCTTCAGTTCTTCCACTGTCAAACAAACGGCTATTATTATCATCAAGGCCAGCGAGGGTTTCTGTGATTTCATGTTCTTCTAATTCAAGTACCACCGTGAACATAGGCGGCAAAACCAGCTGCAACTTCTACAAGCTTCTTTCTCTGAGCTCCGAGGCGGCAACCATGACCGAGATCAAGCAGGCTTACAAGTCCATGGCGCTCCGGTACCACCCCGACGTGTGCCGGGACGCCGCCGCAAAGGAGGAGTGGACGAGGGTGTTCGTTCAGCTCAATGCTGCGTATGAGACGCTGTCGAACCCACAGCTCCGTGAAGAGTATGACTACAAGGTTCTAGGATTGAGGAGGGCGGCGGCGGCGGCGACGAGTCTTGAGATCAGTGATGAAATCAGGTCGAGAAAGAGTCGGTGTGAGGAACAGAAGAGAAGGTCTAACAGAAGTTCCTTGAGAACTCAGAGAATGAAACATCGCAATTGATTCATTTCTTACCACAGATTTTTATTTTTTTAATCGCAGATGACTTAAATCTTGATAATTACCTGTAATTATGGTTCATCTGTTTGATACATAATTCTCAATACATACATACGTACATACATATATATATATATTCAAGGGCATGAACTGAATCTCAATCCTTATATTCAGTGCTTGACTTTGGAACAATTCAATCCTAGTTATTTTTACCTTTACAATTTATAGTCTCCATAATTCTTTAATTTTATAAATTACAAGCACTGAATTATATTGAGTTAAAGCTCAAGTACAAAGTCAATTCATTTCCTATAATGCGATGATAAGTGTTGTTAGGTGGTTGAGATACTCTCGAGATCAAACTAAAAGCACAATACCACATAGAATCAAATTTAAAAAGAAAAAAAGGCCATTTCTAAAGGATAAAGAAAACTGACATAATAGATCAAAATGACCATTATTATACACTGCAGCTTTCTTTTACTACTGCGTTATTTATATATGTATATGTATATCTTCAATGCTACAAGGGAAACAACTTTTTTCCCCTTGTAATTTCTTTAAGTGAAGTTGATCACAAGTCAAAGGAAGCTAAGTTGGCCTAAGAATCAGGGCAATTCAATGGTTGGACCAAAGGTAGCAACAGCATCAGCTACTGTAAGAAAAATCTTATCTTCCCCAATTAAGTCTGTCAGTTTTGATGCATGCAGCTTCTCCATCACTACCGTCCCAGGGTTTGCCAACACGAGCTGTGAAAAATATCCACAGAGACACGCAGACAATAAGTATTATGAAGACCTTGAAAAGATTCCAACAACCTAACAGAATGATTCCCAATGGCGGGATGCCATAGGATCATGAAAGTCCTTCTTATAGAGGAAAGATTGCAGATTCGATCCTGCCAGATGTTTGTGTGTATCTATCTGTAGTTGTAGTCGTCCCTAGTTTTTTTAAAAAGAAAAAACTAACAAAATCATTGGTCTCAGAGTTCCAAACCCGTTTTGATACAAGTTCATTGGTTTTTCAGTTAAATTGGCTAGTTTAGTCCAATTCTAATAGCACTGATCCAAATGTATCTCACAGTAGGTGGTTCATAACAACTTAAAAATATTACTTTTACCAAGCTTGGATCATAATAGGTGGTTCATAATCATCAGGCGTTTGGATCAATTGGTTAAAGAGTTGATCCAGCTTAATTAGAGGTCTCGAGTTTGAGTCTTGAGAATGCAACATCAATTAAATTTTCAATAGGAGGTCTAACTCTAGAAAAGGTACTCATAAGATGCTAACTAGATTATTTTGGGTCAAAGACTTTGGATACTGGAGCAAAAGGGGAAAAAATGATATTTGTTGCAGCAGATACAAGAAGAGGAGTTTACCTGGACTTCTCTTTTCTGAAGGCTCTTGTGTAACTCTTCAAAGGCACAGATGCCACTAGTGTCAATGTCAGTCACAGCTGCAACAGTATTGTGATTCCACGAGTTAATTCCTTCAGCAAAACTATACTGAATTAATTGACTTCAAAAGAAAAACTTACGGGACATCTCAACTACAAGATATTCTGTTCTGGGTAAGTTGTTTTCTTTCTTCTTTTCATCTTCATCGGTCAGCCATCTCAGAATTCTGCAAAAGTTGATTCAACCAGTCATGATTCGTCTATTTATCTGCTATCTTATTTTACACTGTCTTCACATTTCATATTGGAATTGAGAAATTCAAATTAATCACCTCTCCTTGATGTAGTTGGAGTTTGAGAAGTAAATTGCAGAATCAACTCTGATAATCAGTATGCCAGGAACCTGTGTTGCTTTTGGGTATTGTTGAATGTTTCTATAAACACAAGTTTCTGGAACCCTCCCAAGTACTGCTGTGCTTGGCCTTGTTACTTGTAAAAGGATCTTCGCAAAAGATATAACCACCTACAAAAAATTTAAGAAAATACTGCATAAATATCTCAAACTAAATACAAGAGATTCTCAAGCAAAAACTTGATCTTAAACAAGTACATGCATAGGTTAAGCCAATAATAAATAGACACATGTGATGTTGGGCAAAATTGCAATGCAAAAACTCAGTTTAAAAAACCGAGTTTAGCAAAGGCAGCTGAACAAGCTTTCAATAAAAACTGAATTTACAAAACTGGGTTTGGAGCTCCAAACTGTTATCCAAACATAGGCATAAGCTAGTGTTTCAAGATTGTCTCCCACTAAAGATGTGGCAAACATATACTTACTGCAATAAGAAGGCCAATCTCAACATTCTTGAAAATGACACCAAGGAAGGCTCCCATGCAAGCTACAAAGTCAAATTTGTCAACCTTCCAAAGCAGAATAGCAGCTTTTATGTCCACAAGGCCTATTACGGCTGCAATGATAATGGAAGACAGTACAGCGAGTGGGGTGTACTTGAACAATGGTGTAATGAGTTCCAGAGTTAGCAACACAACAATGGACATGACAATATTTGACACAGCAGTATTACAGCCAGCCATGAAGTTCACCGCTGAGCGAGAAAAGGATCCTACATCAACACCAGAAATGCATATCAAGATGATGACTCATGACAAAACAATGTATTGTTTCGTCAGATATTGTTGAGTTCTTCCATACCTGTAGCTACATAACATGAAGTGAGTGATCCAATAACATTCACTGTTCCTAATGCCACCATTTCTTTGCTGCCGTCAAGTGAATAGTCTTTCATAGCAGCAAAAGTTCTCCCAATCGCTATAGCTTCCTAAAGTTGGAAAACTTGGCTTTGAATATCTTGCAGTGTTGTAAAAGCAAATGATTCTGTAGTTCATCAAGTATTATCTTACCGTGAGAGCTATCATACCAGACACTACACCAATCCGAATACCAGAGCCGAGATACTTTCCACTGAAGAATATTTCATTTGCTGATGTTGGGTTTACGCCTTTTTTTATATGCCTCACCTGAAATACAGTAGTTTCATTATGATTTGAAGATCATTTAGCTTTAATTGCATGGCCAAATTTGGAGTTAGTACTTACAATTGATACGCCTTTTTTGTCAGCGTGAGTAATGTAGACGAAAAACGTGGACAATACAACAGAGATCAAGGGGGCAGTTGCAGACAGCCAGAAGAATTTATTGTTCTTTCTAGCCTGTCCATCACATAAAAAAACTTGATATATACTTTCAATGGATGAATATAGCATTATATAGAGCCATGAATGGAATTATTACCATGTGCTTGCTTCCTAGAAGGAAGATCAAGAATGATACTCCTATGGCTATAGTCTGCCAGTTCCACTGTAAAAGCAGACAATGTTACACAAAACTTGTTAGTGTCTGTTGATTTTGCTTTCTTAAAAATCATGTGCCCTTTACAAATGATGGTGGGTTCAATTAATTACCCCATGGTGTGCTGTACTACAAACTGAGTGCAGGACAGAAACAATATCAGTCTTCTTGGTGAAATTGACTATTCCAAGTAGCCCTTTGAGCTGTTGCAGGCTAATAATAATGGAAGCTCCAGCCATGAATCCCACTATGGCAGCATGGGATAGGAAATCAATCAAGAAACCTAGTCTGTAATACAAGATTTCAGAAAGAACGAAAGCACAAGCAGAGTTTCTGTTAAGATAATTCTGACTCTGCAAGAAACAAAACACAGTACTGAAAGCTCAAGTTTACTACTGCATTTAGTTCAGATTTTCAAGTGAAGAGGCGTGAGGGAATTATGAATCTTCACTTAACAGTTTGATTTCATGTATGAAAAAGTGGTCAACATGTATAACCTCATCCTTTTAAGCACTTGGATTGTTGGACAATTATACAGTAACATACCTGAGAATCCCTAGGGCCATTTGAGTGATTCCTGCAAAGAAGGTGGCTGTGAGAGCAAGGCGGAGATAATCATGATTCTTATAGTCACTAATCTCATCAGTGAGCATGCTTCCAAGCAAGAGGGACACCACAGCAACGGGTCCTATGGCAATATCCCTTGAGCTTCCCATGAAAGCATACACCAACGGAGCCACAAAGCTTGAATCTGCACAAATTGATGGAAAATCCCCAAAACCAAATAATATAACTCAACTCAAGAACTAACATTTCCAAGTTTCTCAGAAGGCAAGAAAGCATAAGCAATGAGACCAACACATGACACAGGACAGTACATGAAAAATGACCAACAAACAATATTAAAGATGAGAACTTGGATAAGATTTTATTAATGTTCACTATTAAGTTCACACCAAAAAAAAAACAAAAGAAAAGAAAGAAACCCATAAAAATTTGACTGCTCAGGACTGCATTACTGACTTTTCAAGATACATTCATAGACAAGTCATTATTACACCTTTTTAAAAAAAAAAAAAATGTTTGCATGTTTTGTGGCATGGAGGGAGAAAAAGAAAAACCAAACTCACATAGTGCATATTGAGGATCCAGATTTGCAAGCTTTGCATATGCAATATCCTGTGGAGCAGCAAATGAGTTAAGTCCAAAACCAGAAACCAATGTTAAAGGTAATACTTATATGAATAACACCGTTACTAAGATGTGGTCCTTACCTGAGGAATACAGAGAGAAGCAATGGTGAGTCCAGAAACAAGATCACCTTTGAATTTATGAAAACTGTAATCTCTTCCCCATTCAAGGATTGGGAACACAGCTTTAAGTCCAAGAACAAGCTTCCTTGATCTTGGCTGGTCTTTGAAATGGCGTAAACGATGGTCTGAGAAGAAAGTCTCCCTCACTGCATCTTTGATCTCCTTTACAAGCTTCTGCTTTGGAGGAGCTCCCACCTTGTGAATATACAAGGTATCATCTCCATTCATGCCACTTGAAGCATCATTACTTCCCATTTTGTCCATTACCTTAACTTTCGCAAGCTCGTCCCTAAAATGACAGCTCATGTATCCCTGAGATGGCTACTATCAGTAATGGCCTGAAAATCAAACAGATATTATGCAGAAAAGTGAATAATGTCAATAGAGCTCTCTTTTGTGCCCCGTCAACTTCTTTAGAAGCTACAGAGTCTCCACATTTTGTTATGTGAAGTTGGTGATTTCAAGAATGTTCTTTTTATCGAACACTAAACTAACATGAATGCAGATGAAGATATAGAAGAAGATGAATAAATAAGCTGTGTGAAATATGAACTTCAGGATTGCATGGTACAGGAATCATGTGGTGTCAGTGTCATGGAGGTAATGGATCGAACATGAGATGAATGAAAAGAGGACGGCGAGATACCGAAAGGTTGAGAAGCAGAGAACCAAGGAAGTTGCATTCTCATGTGAGAAAGCGAGTGCTTATATAGTGATAGAAGTGGCAAGTGCTGGCTGGCAATGTCAAATAGGTAGTGAAGTGATACACGCACACACACTATATGACATGGTTTGACCTTGTGGAAGAAACTAGATTCATAGTCATAGACTACTGATTTCTAGAACAAACAATACATTTGGATATGTAATTGTTTAGGGTTTGATATTGCAGTATAAACCAGGGAGACTAGATTCAACCAATTTTGTTAGGACCTATTCGGTATTTGAACTTGTCGAGCCATTGATTCACAAAGTTGTGGTTGGCTTGGCCTCAGTTAAAATAATATTGTTAAATAATACATGTGCGAAAAATAACTTGGACAATATGTATCTATATATTATCGTACATGCCTAAATATGTCTAGTAATATTTGTTCATATTAGTCTCGTACATGTCAAGCCAATACAAACTCATACATGCCCAACTTAAAATAATATTTATTATCCAATATAAATCACCAAAATCATCAAATATGCCATATTAGTTATCCAACCAAGCTAGTATAAGCTTCTACAATTAACCAAAACCACTAATAAATTATGATATATATAACATTGAAAGAAAAAAACCAACGTAAAGACAAATAAAAATGCAAAATAAAAGTTTTTTTTATTATTGATTTAAAAAAAAATGGTTTGGGTTGATTTTAACCGATTTACATTTTGGCTAGTTTTTAAAAGTTGTGGACCAGATATGTGGCCAATTCTTGGTCCAACTGATCTAATCCAGTTCTGATAACATGGGTCAAAAACAATAAAGCAAGATATCGAGAAGGACAGGAAACCAAAAAGAAAGAAGAATTAGAATTTCACCTTGCCTAGCTAGATGCAAATTTTGTGGAAAGAATGGCATATTTCTTGTTCTCTACTCACATGGTTTTAATATTATTAGTATAATATTAGTATTAGTATTATCATAATTGTAATTGTCAATCTCTATTGACTAAAGAAACAGGTATTTTCAGTGGCTCAAACGATTTAGGCTAAATTAGTAAATAGGAGAAGTGCGCTTTACATGAAGGTAGTCAGGATTGAGTCCAGGTTCACAAGATGCTTGTTCAATGGATGTGGCTGCCTGATTTGCAATCTAATTTTGGAATTGCAGCGAACAAAGGCAAGAAAGGAGAACAAATACTTTTTTGTTTTTTAAATTGGACAAGTATTTGATTTTAAAAAAAAATCTACAACAAGCACTTTAATTAAAAAAAATCGAAGTATATACTCCCTCCATTCAATATTCTAAAGTCACCAATTTTAACCAAATTACATTCTTAATAAATTAATTAATTGTTTTAAAAATTACGCACTCTTTTTATATTTGCCTTTATTTAATAGAATGTCTCAATTAAAAAACTTTATTAATTACACTCCTTAATTAAGGCTATTTGTAGAAAAATCTCATTAAATATTACATCTATATTTTTTAACATTTCATCTTAGAAAAAATGCCTTATATTTTTTAAAGGAGTGAGTAATTTTTTTTTTCAAATAATAATAGATTAATAGTAGTGAAAGGCAATGAGCAATGACAAGAATACAGTATCTAATATCTCTTTTTTTTTTCATGAAAGAAAGATTGTTTTCTATAAATGTTATAACCATCCTTGATGTCTAACATTTTCTTGAGAAATTTTAGCGCATGAAGGAATTAATGGAGCCCATAAACTTGTATTGATTCATTGTGAAGTAGGAAGAGTAGGGAAAAGAACGTCTTTTTGGCTTTACAAAATCTGGAACTATGAAGCCTTTTGACTTTATATAATTTCATGGTTACCAATTACCATCCATAGTTGGGTTGGTAAGATGTGTGGAGGAGGAAGACGACTTTTTGTCTACTAACTTTATAGACTTTGATTGAAAAAGAAAAGGAAGCAGAGGAGTACCATCCAAAGTGTTTGTGAGAATCTTTATAATCTGATATACAACTAAAACCAGGTCTCCTACTTTAGATGAAATTTAAAAAAATGAGTCATATTATTTATAACTTATAAATAATATAGTTTGTTAGATTTTTTTTAATATTGTATACTCATGATAATATTTTTTTTTCTTATGAAAAATTAGATGAAGGTCATGCATTGCTCAAAATCTAAAAAATAAGTTACAATTTTCGTAACTTATTAATAGAATAACTTGTTGGAGCTTTTATATTAGATAGATTGATTTATTTGATTTTATATGAATGATTTATATGATGCCTTGCTTGGGGTTGCTTGGCATGGAGAAAGTAAGGAGGGGAAATACAACTTTTTTTTTTTTTTTGGATGAAGAGGGGAAGTAAAACTTTATTTTCAAAAGCAAGTGACCTGCTTTTGTTTGTTTAAAACATAACTAATTATATATCGAAAAATTAGAAACCCTATTTTCTATGGAACTTGGAGAGTAACTTCTAAGTAAAATTTTGGGAGACTTTTATTAATTTTCAAAAAATATTTTTAATAATTAAACTTACTAAATTTAAAACAAGAATTTTGTATTATTAGAATTAAAAATTAGTTGACAACATTCTAGTTAACCAAGATTTAATCTATGACTCACAAAGTTGCAGGTTCAATTTGGTTGCTAATATGATAATTTTACTGATAGAGGATATGAATCTAAAGCCATGTCTTGAACTTGATAAATTTTCGAAACCCAATTCACCTATAATCTTTTGTTCTTAAAAAAATTGAAAAATATTTTATTTGTTTTTAAAAAAGTAAATTTAACTCCATGATAAATATAGCATTAGACATGCAACAATATGCATAAACTTCCTAAAAAGTTAATTTTCCAAAAAGTATACTTGCTTAATTAACTTCTCAAAAAGTATGAATAGTTTAACCAAATGACTCTAATCCAATTCACCTTGGATTTTTCGCAATATATAAAAAAATTGTCTAGTTCAATTTCAATTCTTCCCCTAGTGTCTCTTAAAAAAATTATTTATTTATTAATTATTAATTAATTAGCGGTGAAGTTACTTCAAAGAAAAAAAATACAATAGTATGTTTTGGTACTTTGATTACATGTTATTTTTATTTCCGATAATTTTATTTTGTCGTTGTTAGTCCCTTTAGTTTAATCCGTTCACAACACTGTTTCTCATAATTTTAAAAATACATATAAAGGTCATGAGCTAATATCGACAAAGTTCATTTTGTTAATGTGTACCTAATCTCACCAGCTCCCATTCCGTTTAGGCCAAATATATATATATATATAAAACAATCCCTTGCCTTTAATTTTATTTTTAATCACACCTAATATTTTCATCATTTCTATATTAGCATAGTTTAATCATGTCAACAAAAATGTTAGCAGAGTCCTAATAAAATTAACTTCATTAATGCTAATTCATGATTTTTTATGTGAATTTTAAAAATTATAGAGATTGATGTTGCAAAATAATCAAACTAAAAGACTATGAACAACAACAAAAAATATATAAAACTAAAAAAAAAAAACATAGTTAAAGTACAGGAATTGATTGTTTTATTTTCTTCTGCTTTGAACCATAACATTTCTCATGAAATGCGCGAGTAAAATATTAAAAAAAGCACAAGAGAAACGCATGATTGGAAGATGTGCAGTGATTAAATAGTATTCCTTCCGTTTAAAAATATAAAATATTTTAATTAAATTTATTTAATTATTTACTTTTCAACTAATTTTATCTTTCTATATTTATCCTTATTAAATACCTTACAATAAATATAAATTCATTATCAATAGTGAAATTGTTAGAAAAAAGGCAATGATTACACCTTAAAAGACTAAAAATACTTTACATTTTAAATATCTAACTCCTCAAAAAATATCTTATATTTTTAAATAGAGAAAGTATTATTTGATTTTATTTTGTAATAATAAAAATGTTATTATCTAAAAAAAAAGAAATAAAGTGATAATTTCTTATAGATATTATTACGGTAAAGACCTCGACATAGTGAGATTTAAAAGCCTCCATATGTCTAGGCAGAAATAATAAGTCATACTTTGTATTTATTGAACTAAATTTTGACTCTCATTAGAAAAAAATAAGTTATACTATTCATAATTTATCAACAGGGCTAACGAGAATTTTTTTTTTTGGTGGGGAAGAAACATTTTCTTATATATGAAATTGTGGGAAGACAATTTTAAGGATACTGTAACTTTAAGTCTCTCAAAATTATTTTTTTATTGACTCGGTTGCTTAAATTTAATTTTTATTAATTTGGACCTTAATTATCAATTTAGTCCCAATTCTCAATAACTCTTTTTTTTTTAACCAAAATTATCAATAACTCCACTACTGGCATCTAAACCTCTTATGAGAAGTGTAAACTAAATATACTTCTATAAATTTTACTAAAATTACAAAATATTTTTTATTTTCAAGTTTATAGTTTTAAAATTTTATTTAAAATTATTTTAATTTTTTATTAATTTTTTTGAAGAATAGTAAAATATTTTTTATTAATTCAAACACATATTTTTAAATTTTGAATAACTTTTTTTTGGAAAATTTGTAAACGTTTCGAAATTTAAAAAAAAACATATGATTTTAAAAAATATAAATATATGTAATTTCCTCGTAGGAAACCAGCCTACCTTAATTAATCTACACTGACCTCTTTCTAAAATAATTAAAAGAAAAAATTTAACTCATCCGTTCCCAAAGACTGGAAGACACCAGATAAAAAACTGATAATAAATTAATATGCAAAGCAAGACTCAAAGAATAATAAAATATGGATACTATATAAAAAAAAGACCTCGAATTGAAGAACTCTTCCAAATTAAATCAACACGTTTATAAGAAATTAATTTCTATGTTTCAGCTTCCTTATTAAATCATCCAACATGTATATATATTGTTCTGTCAAAAAATATCCCATACATCCTCCGGTTAACTATCTTATCGAAATCAAAGAAATGCAGCTAAATTATTTTTCAATTTTCTCT